TCATCCTCCGTTTCCTCGTCCTTCTCCTCTCCTTCTCCTCCTCATGCTCCTCATCCTCCTACTCCTCCCCCTCGGCTTCCTCATTTTCTTCGTCCCCCTTGTCCGTTCCTCCTCCTCCTCCTTCTCGTCCCATACCTCCTTCCCATCCTCCTCCTTCTACTCCTACTCTCCCTCCCCTCATTTGTCATCCTTCTCTCCTCTTCGGTCTGTCTGGTCGCCCGGCCCCGCCGCTCATCGCGGATGCCAAGGCGCATCATGCCGTACACCACCATGCTGCGGAAGCCATAGGCAAGGGAGCAGGAGGAGAGAAGAAAGGACAGATGAAGAGAGGAGGGGTAACGGGAAAAAACGATGGATGGAACGGACGTTGGCGAAGGACGTGCCGCGTGAGAATGCAACGTAGAATTGGCAGTGGACAAATGCTGGGGTGGGTAAATACGACGAATGATACGGAAGGGGAGGAAAATAGGACAGAGGCGGGCGGAGAGCGAGTATGAAGGGGCCCCAAGACACACAAATTACTCACTGCGTGGAACTCCTCATATGTGCATCTCATGTTTTATGTCATGCCGTGGCGAACGTCTGTTCATGAGCGGTCGACTACAATAGCGCGTCCACGTGGGCGACAGGGCCGACGAAGACGAGTGACCCCTAATGCGAGTGATTGCGTATGAGTCAGAGTGAGCTTGATGTTGGGCATGAAAACAAGCAAACCGCCTGAGACATCCCCACAAACTGACCGCGAACGAGCCCGTGCAACCACCCCTGGCGGCTCCTCTTAGGGGTGCTGAAACCAGCGCCCCGCCTGAGACATCCTCACAATCTGCTCTCCAAGCGAAGGATGTTGAGCCCAGAAACAAGCAAACCGCCTGAAACATCCCCACAAAATGGCCGCGAACGAGCCCGTGCAAACACCCCTGGCGGCTCCCCTTAGGGGTGCTTAAACCAGCGCCCCGCCTGAGACATCCTCACAATCTGCTCTCCCAGCGAAGGGTGTTGAGCCCAGAAACAAGCAAACCGCCTAAGACATCCCCACAAAATGGCCGCAAACGAACCCGTGCAAACAAAACACCCCTGGCGGCTGAAACCAGCGCCCCGCCTGAAACATCCTCGCAATCTGCTCTCCAAGCGAAGGATGTTGAGCCCAGAAACAAGCAAACCGCCTGAGTCACAATCTGCTCTCCAAGCGAAGGATGTCAGGCCCAGAAACAAGCAAACCGCCTGAGACATCCCCACAAAATGGCCGCGAACGAGCCCGTGCAACCACCCCTGGCGGCTCCCCTTAGGGGTGCTGAAAGCAGCGCCCCGCCTGAGACATCCTCACAATCTGCTCTCCAAGCGAAGGATGTTGAGCCCAGAAACAAGCAAACCGCCTGAGACATCCCCACAAAATGGCCGCGAACGAGCCCGTGCAACCACCCCTGGCGGCTCCCCTTAGGGGTGCTGGAATGAGCGCCTCGCTCGAGACATCCTCCAAATCTGCTCCGAAAGCGAAGGATGTTGGGCACAGAAACAGGCAAACCGCCTGAGACATCCCCACAAAATGGCCGCGAACGAGCCCGTGCAACCACCCCTGGCGGCTCCCCGTAGGGGTGCTGAAATGAGCGCCTCGCTCGAGACATCCTCCAAATCTGCTCCGAAAGCGAAGGATGTTGAGCCCAGAAACAAGCAAACCGACTGAGACATCCCCACAAAATGGCCGCGAACGAGCCCGTGCAACCACCCCTGGCGGCTCCCCTTAGGGGTGCTGAAACCAGCGCCCCGCCTGAAACATCCTCACAATCTGCTCTCCAAGCGAAGGATGTTGAGCCCAGAAATTACTCACTGCGTGGAGCTCCCCATATGTACATCTCGTGTTTTATGTCATGCCGTGGTGAGCGTCTGTTCACGAGCGGTCGACTACAATAGCGCGTCCACGTGGGCGACAGGGCCGACGAAGACGAGCGACCCCTAATGCGAGTGATTGCGTATGAATCAGAGTGAACTTTGAGTATGGTTGAATGCGAACCTCTTCCTCTTCATCCCCCCTCCTCAGCTGCCAGGCCTTCCCATGTTCAGCCCGTGGTAGTTTTGGAGCTTCCCACATGTGCATATGTTGTAGGATAGTTGGCAGTGGGATATGTAAGACGAGCGTTTGGCCACACAAGGCCATACGTGCATGTCATGCTGGAGGATAGTGCCACGGTGAGCATTTAACTACAGTGCAACCACCCCTGTGGCGGCTCCCCCATAGGGGTGCGGCAACCCAGCCGCCCCAGCTTGAGACATGAGTAAGGTCCGACAGGAGGGGGGGAGAAAAGAGGAGGAGGGAAAGGAAACAGTAGGAGGCGTCCAATACATAACAAGAGCCCCATCAGGGGTGTTGAAACCAGCGCCCCGCCTGAGACATCCTCACACTCTGCTCTCCAAGCGAAGGATGTTGGGCCCGGAAACAAGCAAACCGCCTGAGACATCCCCACAAAATGGCCGCGAACGAGCCCGTGCAACCACCCCTGGCGGCTCCTCTTAGGGGTGCTGAAACCAGCGCCCCGCCTGAGACATCCTCACAATCTGCTCTCCAAGCGAAGGATGTTGAGCCCAGAAACAAGCAAACCGCCTGAAACATCCCCACAAAATGGCCGCGAACGAGCCCGTGCAAACACCCCTGGCGGCTCCCCTTAGGGGTACTGAAACCAGCGCCCCGCCTGAGACATCCTCACAATCTGCTATCCAAGCGAAGGATGTTGAGCCCAGAAACAAGCAAACCGCTTGAGACATCCCCACAAAATGGCCGCGAACGAGCCCGTGCAAACAAAACAACCCTGCGGTGAAACCAGGCGCCCCGCCTGAGACTCCTGGCAATCCGCTCTCCAAGCGAAGGATGTGAGCCCAGAAAAAAGCAAACCGGCTGAGCACAATTCTGCTTTCCAAGCGAAGGATGTTTCAGGCCCAGAAACAAGCAAACCGCCTGAGACATCCCCACAAAATGGCCGCGAACGAGCCCGTGCAAACACCCCTGGCGGCTCCCCTTAAGGGTGCTGAAACCAGCGCCCCGCCTGAGACATCCTCACGCTCTGCTCTGCAAGCGAAGGATGTTGAGCCCAGAAACAAGCAAACCGCTTCAGACATCCCAACAAAATGGCCGCGAACGAGCCCGTGCAAACACCCCTGGCGGCTGGGGTGCTGGAACCAGCGCCCCGCCTGAGACATCCTCACAATCTGCTTTCCAAGCGAAGGATGTTGAGCCCAGAAACAAGCAAACCGCCTGAGACATCCCCACAAAATGGCCGCGAACGAACCCGTGCAAACACACCTGGCGGCTCCCCTTAGGGGTGCTGAAACCAGCGCCCCGCCTGAGACATCCTCACAATCTGCTCTCCAAGCGAAGGATGTTGAGCCCAGAAACAAGCAAACCGCCTGAGACATCCCCACAAAATGGCCGCGAACGATCCCGTGCAAACACCCCTGGCGGCTCCCCTTTCAATTTCCGCAGCCCATTACCCCCCTCTCCAGGGGTGCTGAAAAACAGCGCAACGACTGAGAATCCTCACAATCCTGCTCGTCCAAGCGAAGGATGTGAGCCCAGAAATTACTCACTGCGTGGAGCTCCCATATGTAATTCTCGTGTTTTATGTTCATGCGTGGTGAGCGCTCTGTTCATTGAGAGGTCGACCACAATAGCGCGCCCACGTGGGCGACAGGGCCGACGAAGACGAGCGACCCCTAATGCGAGTGATTGCGTATGAATCAGAGTGAGCTTTGAATATGGTTGAATGCGAGCCTCTTCCTCTTCATCCCCCCTCCTCAGCTGCCAGGCCTTCCCATTTTCAGCCCGTGGTAGCTTTGGAGCTTCCCACATGTGCATATGTTGTAGGATAGTTGGCAGTGGGCTATGTAAGACGAGCGCTTGGCCACACAAGGCCATAAGTGCATGTCATGCTGGAGGATAGTGCCACGGTGAGCATTTATCTACCGTGCAACCACCCCTGGCGGCTCCCCATAGGGGTGCTGCAACCAGCGCCCCGCTTGAGACATGAGTAAGTCCGACAGGAGGAAGGAGAAAAGCGGAGGAGGGAAAAGAAACCGTAGGAGGCGTCCAATTAATAACACGAGCCCCATCAGGGGTGCTGAAACCAGCGCCCCGCCTGAGACATCCTCACAATCTGCTCTCCAAGCGAAGGATGTTGGGCCCGGAAACAAGCAAACCGCCTGAGACATCCCCACAAAATGGCCGCGAACGAGCCCGTTGCAAACCCCTTGGCGGCCCCCTTAGGGGTGCTGAAACCAGCGCCCCGCCTTGAGACATCATCACAATCTGCTCTTAAAAGCGAAGGATGTTGGGCACAGAAACAGGCAAACCGCCTGAGACATCCCCACAAAATGGCCGCGAACGAGCCCGTGCAACCACCCCTGGCGGCCCCCCTTAGGGGTGCTGCAATGAGCGCCTCGCTCGAGACATCCTCCAAATCTGCTCCGAAAGCGAAGGATGTTGGGCACAGAAACAGGCAAACCGCCTGAGACATCCCCACAAAAATGGCCGCGAACGAGCCCGTGCAACCACCCCTGGCGGCTCCCCTTAGGGTCTGAAAACAGCGCCCGCCTGAGACAATCCCAACAATTTGCTCTCCACAAGCGAAGGATGTTGAGCTCGGAAACAGGCACACCGCCTGAGAACATCCACACAAATGCCGCGAACGAGCCGTGCAACCACCCCTGGCGGCTACCCTCAGCGGGTGCTTGAAACCAGCGCCCGCTGGGGAGACATCCGTCACAATATAGCTCTCCAAGCGAACAGGATGTTGAGCCCAGAAACAAGCAAACCGCCTGAAAAATCCCCACAAAATGGCCGCGAACGAAGCCCGTGCAAACCACCCCTGGCGGCTCCCCTTAAGGGTGCTTTGAACACCAGCGCCCCGCGGGTTCGGACATCCCACAATCTTTTTTTTTGCTTCCAAGGCGAAAGATGTTGAGCCAGAAAACAAGCAAAACCGCTTTTGAGACATCACACAAAACTGGCCGCGAACGGGCCCGTGAAAACACCCCTGGCGGCTCCCCTTACGGGTGCTGAAACCAGCGCCCCGCTTAAGACATCCTCACAATCTGCTCTGAAAGCCAACGATGTTGGGCATGAAAACAAGCAAACCGCCGGAGACATCCCCACAAACTGGCCGCGAACGGGCCCGTGAGAGCACCCCTGGCGGCGCCCCTTAGGGGTGCTGAAACCAGCGCCCCCCGACTGGACATCCTACACAATATTGCTCTCCAAGGAAAGGATGTTGAGCCTGGAAACAAGCAAACCGCTGGAAACATCCCCACAAAATGGCCGCGAACGAGCCCGTGCAAACACCCCTGGCGGCTCCCCTTAGGGGTGCTGAAACCAGCGCCCCGCCTGAAACATCCTCACAATCTGCTCTCCAAGCGAAGGATGTTGAGCCCAGAAATTACTCACTGCGTGGAGCTCCCCATATGTACATCTCGTGTTTTATGTCATGCCGTGGTGAGCGTCTGTTCACGAGCGGTCGACTACAATAGCGCGTCCACGTGGGCGACAGGGCCGACGAAGACGAGCGACCCCTAATGCGAGTGATTGCGTATGAGTCAGAGTGAGCTTTGAGTATGGTTGAATGCGAGCCTCTTCCTCTTCATCCCCCCTCCTCAGCTGCCAGGCCTTCCCATGTTCAGCCCGTGGTAGTTTTGGAGAACCCCACATGTGCATCTGTTGTAGGATAGTTGGCAGTGGGATATGTAAGACGAGCGTTTGGCCACACAAAGCCATAAGTGCATGTCATGCTGGAGGATAGTGCCACGGTGAATATTTATCTACCGTGCAACCACCCCTGGCGGCTCCCCATAGGGGTGCTGCAACCAGCGCCCCGCTTGAGACATGAGTAAGTCCGACAGGAGGGGGGGAGAAAAGAGGAGGAGGGAGAAGAAACACTAGGAGGCGTCCAATAAATAACAAGAGCCCCATCAGGGGTGCTGAAACCAGCGCCCCGCCTGAGACATCCTCACAATCTGCTCTCCAAGCGAAGGATGTTGGGCCCGGAAACAAGCAAACCGCCTGAGACATCCCCACAAAATGGCCGCGAACGAGCCCGTGCAAACCCCTTTGGCGGTTCCCCTTAGGGGTGCTGAAACCAGCGCCCCGCCTGAGACATCCTCACAATCTGCTCTCCAAGCAAAGGATGTTGAGCCCAGAAACAAGCAAACCGCCTGAAACATCCCCACAAAATGGCCGCGAACGAGCCCGTGCAAACACCCCTGGCGGCTCCCCTTAGGGGTGCTGAAACCAGCGCCCCGCCTGAGACATCCTCACAATCTGCTTTCCAAGCGAAGGGTGTTGAGCCCAGAAACAAGCAAACCGCCTGAGACATCCCCACAAAATGGCCGCGAACGAGCCCGTGCAAACAAAACACCCCTGGCGGCTGAAACCAGCGCCCCGCCTGAGACATCCTCGCAATCTGCTCTCCAAGCGAAGGATGTTGAGCCCAGAAACAAGCAAACCGCCTGAGTCAAAATCTGCTCCGAAAGCAAAGGATGTTGAGCCCAGAAACAAGCAAACCGCCTGAGACATCCCCACAAAATGGCCGCGAACGAGCCCGTGCAAACACCCCTGGCGGCTCCCCTTAGGGGTGCTGAAACCAGCGCCCCGCCTGAGACATCCTCACACTCTGCTCTGCAAGCGAAGGATGTTGAGCCCAGAAACAAGCAAACCGCTTCAGACATCCCAGCAAAATGGCCGCGAACGAGCCCGTGCAAACACCCCTGGCGGCTCCCCTTAGGGGTGCTGGAACCAGCGCCCCGCCTGAGACATCCTCACGATGTGCTCTCCAAGCGAAGGATGTTGAGCCCAGAAACAAGCAAACTGCCTGAGACATCCCCACAAAATGGCCGCGAACGAGCCCGTGCAAACACACCTGACGGTTCCCCTTAGGGGTGCTGAAACCAGCGCCCCGCCTGAGACATCCTCACAATCTGCTCTCCAAGCGAAGGATGTCGAGCCCGGAAACAAGCAAACCGCCTGAAACATCTCCACAAAATGGCCGCGAACGAGCCAGTGCAAACACCCCTGGCGGCTCCCCTTAGGGGTGCTGGAACCAGCGCCCTGCCTGAGACATCCTCACAATCTGCTCTCCAAGCGAAGGATGTTGAGCCCAGAAATTACTCACTGCGTGGAGCTCCCCATATGTACATCTCGTGTTTTATGTCATGCCGTGGTGAGCGTCTGCTCATGAGCGGTCGACTACAATAGCGCGTCCACGTGGGCGACAGGGCCGACGAAGACGAGCGACCCCTAATGCGAGTGATTGCGTATGAGTCAGAGTGAGCTTTGAATATGGTTGAATGCGAGCCTCTTCCTCTTCATCCCCCCTCCTCAGCTGCCAGGCCTTCCCATTTTCGGCCCGTGTAGCTTTGGAGCTTCCCACATGTGCATATGTTGTAGGATAGTTGGCAGTGGGATATGTAAGACGAGCGTTTGGCCACACAAGGCCATAAGTGCATGTCATGCTGGAGGATAGTGCCACGGTGAGCATTTATCTACCGTGCAACCACCCCTGGCGGCTCCCCATAGGGGTGCTGCAACCAGCGCCCCGCTTGAGACATGAGTAAGTCCGAACAGGAGGGGGGAGAAAAGAGGAGGAGGGAGAAGAAACAGTAGGAGGCGTCCAAGTAATAACAAGAACCCCATCAGGGGTGCTGAAACCAGCGCCCCGCCTGAGACATCCTCACAATCTGCTCTCCAAGCGAAGGATGTTGGGCCCGGAAACAAGCAAACCGCCTGAGACATCCCCACAAAATGGCCGCGAACGAGCCCGTGCAAACCCCCCTGGCGGCTCCCCTTAGGGGTGCTGAAACCAGCGCCCCGCCTGAGACATCCTCACAATCTGCTCTCCAAGCGAAGGATGTTGAGCCCAGAAACAAGCAAACCGCCTGAGACATCCCCACAAAATGGCGCGAACGAGCCCGTGCAACCACCCCTGGCGGCTCCCCTTAGGGTGCTGAAACCAGCGCCCCGCCTGAGACATCCTCACAATCTGCTCTCCAAGCGAAGGATGTTGAGCCCAGAAACAAGCAAACCGCCTGAGACATCCCCACAAAATGGCCGCGAACGAGCCCGTGCAACCACCCCTGGCGGCTCCCCTTAGGGGTGCTGAAACCAGCGCCCCGCCTGAGACATCCTCACAATCTGCTCTCCAAGCGAAGGATGTTGGGCCCAGAAACAAGCAAACCGCCTGAGACATCCCCACAAAATGGCCGCGAACGAGCCCGTGCAACCACCCCTGGCGGCTCCCCTTAGGGGTGCTGAAACCAGCGCCCCGCCTGAGACATCCTCACAATCTGCTCTCCAAGCGAAGGATGTTGAGCCCAGAAACAAGCAAACCGCCTGAGACATCCCCACAAAATGGCCGCGAACGAGCCCGTGCAACCACCCCTGGCGGCTCCCCTTAGGGGTGCTGAAACCAGCGCCCGCTCTGAGACATCCTCCAAATCTGCTCCCAAGCGAAGGATGTTGGGCCCAGAAACAAGCAAACCGCCTGAGACATCCCCACACAATGGCCGCGAACGAGCCCGTGCAAACACCCCTGGCGGCTCCCCTTAGGGGTGCTGAAACCAGCGCCCCGCCTGAGACATCCTCACAATCTGCTCTCAAGCAAGCGTACTGTGTATGAGTAAGTCTGGGTATGAGTGAGTCTGTGTATGAGTACGTCTGGGTATGAGTAAGTCTGTGTATGAGTAAGTCTGTGTATGAGTATGTCTGAGTGTGAGTAAGTCTGAGTATGAGTAGGTCTGAGTATGAGTAAGTCTGAGTATGAGTAAGTCTGTGTATGAGTAAGTCTGAGTATGAGCAAGTCTGAGTATGAGTAAGTCCGACAGGAGGGGAGGAGGAAAGAGGAGGAGGAAGAAGGAGAGGGAGTATGAGGCGTCCAAGTAAGAACAAGAACCCCATCTTAGGATATGGGGAACAAGCACACCGCCTGAGACATCCCCACAAAATGGCCGCGAACGAGCCCGTGCAACCACCCCTGGCGGCTCCCCTTAGGGGTGCTGAAACCAGCGCCCCGCCTGAGACATCCTCACAATCTGCTCTCCAAGCGAAGGATGTTGAGCCCAGAAACAAGCAAACCGCCTGAGACATCCCCACAAAATGGCCGCGAACGAGCCCGTGCAACCACCCCTGGCGGCTCCCCTTAGGGGTGCTGAAACCAGCGCCCCGCTTGAGACATCCTCCAAATCTGATGTGTGTTGAGTAAGTCTGAGTATGAGTAGGTCTGAGTATGAGTATGCCTGAGTATGAGTAAGTCTGTGTATGAGTAAGTCTGTGTATGAGTAAGTCTGGGTATGAGTAGGTCTGTGTATGAGAAAGTCTGTGTATGTGTACGTCTGGGTATGAGTAAGTCTGAGTATGAGTAATACTGTGTATGAGTAAGTCTGGGTATGAGTAAGTCTGTGTATGAGTACGTCTGGGTGTGAGTAAGTCTGTGTATGAGTAAGTCTGTGTATGAGCATGTCTGAGTGTGAGTAAGTCTGAGTATGAGTAGGTCTGAGTATGAGGAAGTCTGAGTATGAGTAAGTCTGAGTATGAGTAGGTCTGAGTATGAGGAAAGAGGAGGAGGGGAGGAGGAAAGAGGAGGAGGGAGAGGGAGTAGGAGGCGTCCAAGTAATAACAAGAACCCCATCTTAGGATATGGGGAATAAATACACACAAATAAAACAACCCTATATTTTCCCATATTTTCTGGGCTTCTGTCTTACCCCCACTGCCAATGTTTTCCATATTTTCTGGGGAATCGACGATTAATTGTGTCTGTGTGTTTTTTCCCTCCTGAGAGTAACGAGGGGGGACAAAATGTGGGAGGAGAAGGATGTGCAAGGGAGGAGGAGGAGGAGGAGGAGGAGGAGGAGGAGGAGCAGGAGCAGGAGGAGGAGGAACAGGAGGAAAAGGCAGGAAGAGCGACGACGACAGCACGGCGGGGAAGGAGAGACTCCACAAACTTACACTTCCGGATCTCCTCGCAGATTTCGTGGATCGGTGCTGGACCTCCCTTCCCCGCGCGATGAGCGCGCTAGGGGCGGCACCGGCGGCGCCGCCAGGGGGCCCAACGCAGAACCAACAAATCCGCACGGAGCTCCGAAAACGCATACTTGCCGTTTCGTTCGCTCGGTCTGTCACCGCTTTTCCAAGGCCTTCCCTGGACGCCGCCGGGGGGGCGCTTCCTGACATGCTGCCCGTTGAACTCGCCGTCGATGCGCGCACGGAGCTCCCGCACGAGGGCCTGGGGGTTTTTCAGGCTGGGGGCGGGAGGGGAGGGGAGGGAGGGAGAGGGGTCAAATTAGGGAGGGAGGGGAGGAGGGAGGGAGGGAGGGAGGGGAGGGGTGGGAGGGAGGGAGGGGAGGGGAGGGAGGGGAGGGGGTGAGGGAGGCGGAGGTGCAGTATGGTCAAATTAACTAGCCAGGTCGAGCGAGCCAGAGGGGCACTGCACTTACCCACCCTCCTGCCTCGTAAAACTCACATGTGGCACAACTTGGCACTGGGTTTGGAACGCGCTCTTGCCTAGCAAGCGGAAGGCGCTCGCGCGCGGCCCCGCTGCCAACGACTTGGCGAAGGGACAAGCAGTTACGTGGGCCGCGCAGGGGCGGGAGCGGCAAAATTTCCGACTGGCGCGACGGGGGCGAGCCACGCGCCGCGCTGACACAGCACCGGCACTTTCACGCTCAAACTGCGCGGCGCTTGGGCGAGGTCCGCATTTCGCCCGCTCTCGCGCGGCCCCGCCGCCGCTGTCGCGGCCCGGCTGCCGCTGTCGTCGTCGTCGTCCTCCTCCTCCTCCTCCTCCTCCTCCTCCTCCTCCTGCCGCTGCCGCCGTGCTCACGCGGGAACACCACTTCCGAGCGAAATGCGCACGGAGCCTGGGCGAGGGCGGCACCTCGCCCTCTCGCGCGGGCCCTCCGAAACTGGCGAGTGAAAAATCCACCGACCCTTCGGCGTGTGTGAGACGCTGTCGTCGTCGTCGTCGCCGTCATCGTCGTCGTCCTCATCGTCGTCGTCGTCGCCAGTCACACGAAAATTGAGGAACGAACAAAGAAAAACATCGCAGCTAAGTTGATTATCTTCCCTTTTTCCCTTCCCTGACGGGGGGGGTAACTTACGGGGGGGTAGGGGGGAGGGATGCAGGGTGTTGGGGGAAGGGGGTCCCGCGTCAGACTGCCGCCCCCCGGGGGTCCTGGCGGGTCCCAGGGAGCGGTCCCACCTCCTGAGGACGGTGGGGACAAGGAGAAATTCCCTGTGGGGGGCAGGCCCTGGCCCCGGCCCTGGCCCTGGCCCTGGCCCTGGCCCCGACCCCGGGGTCCGGGGAGGGGACCCCGGGGTCCCAGAGGAGGTCCCGCCTTCGGGGTCGGCGGCACCGGCCGTGAGGCCTTCACAAATAGGGCGCCACGCCGAGGCGGCAGCGCCACATCCTTTCAGGCGAAATCTGGAGCCTCGGGGCCGCTGCCAGGCCATCGCCAGGCAAACAGCCCTGCTGAGATGACAATCTATGAGAAGTTGACCAGGCGAGCTAGAATATTGGACAGACGATGCGATCTTGTGGCGTGGTTGGACCCCGACTTGAGGCCGGCGGATTCGAGTGTGAATGGTGATCTTTGGGTGTCTTTGGGTCAGGAGCTTCAGGCCAGAGGCCCAGGATGTGTGAGCGTCAGGTTTCTGAACAGCCATGTCTCGCCTGAGGAGGCTTTTGCCAAGGGAGTGCCCACGATCGTCTGGCTCGGGAACCAGGATGCGGACAGGCAGGCGGGGCAGGCGGCATCTGAGCACGCCATCCCTGCCGCCCACCTTGAATGCTCAGTGGGCTAACTACATTGTTGCGCTCGTCAGGCTCAGAATTGTAAGGAACCGAACTCCATACACCAACGCTTGCTCCGGCCCTGCACGGACATTTGCACAGGAGAGCGGATCCTGGTGCTCACGGGACCCTGGTGCATAGACCACGCCAAACCCGACGTCGTCCCCGACCCTCAAGAAGTCCAGGGCTTGACAAACAGCCCGCCACTGGTAATGCACATGCTCCAGTTTCCGAACTTGCTCGTGCCGCTCTCTGTGCCGTCGGGTCCGAGGAAGCGCGGACACCCGCGGCGACCGAGGAGAGGCGGCTCTCGTGCGCAGGGGCCCGGCCGACCGCTCTCCTGCGCGCGCCCGATCCCGCCCAGTCTCGCTCCTTGGCCGAGTGTCGAGCCCGCTGGAGCTGCAGTGACTGTCGCAGCACCGTCTCGAAGACCTCCAGCATTGTTCTGGGGAACTGGTCGTGCACCCAGTGTCCTGGGCCCCCCCAAGCCCCAGCCTCAACAGATCTTGAGAATTGCCAAGGGGTGCGAATCGTGCACTGGTCCGACTCCCCTGCGCTTTATGATGCGCCCTACTGGGTTTGCACGCGTTGCAGCGGCATGGCTAAAGAGGGGAATGGCCATGTGGGACCTGAACGCCAAGATGGGCCAGTGGGTCCTCCAGCATCTTTCGAAAGAGCGGCCACCCCTTTGAAGTCCTCCTGGGGTAGATGAGGTAATTAGCGTTCCCGACATCGTCGGCTTGGGGCAATCCTGGGTAATCCTCCTGCTCACCCCCCTCGTCCACCTGGAGGTGGACCTCGACGATACGTCGTACGACACGCCATCGCCGTCGCCGCTGACGTCGCCGTCGTCGCCCTCATTCTCCTCGTCGTCTCCTCATCCTCGTCCTTTTCCTTTTCCTCCTCCTCCTCCTCGTATTCTTCCTCTCCCTCTTCCTCTTCCTCTTCTTCTTCCTCCTCTTCCTCTTCCTCCTCCTCCTCCTCCTCTTCCTCCTCCTCGTATTCCTCTTCGCCGTCGCCGTCGCAGCCCCCGGCCCGAGCAGGAAGCCCTGCCCCGAGCGCGGCCGAAGGGGGGCACCGCCGCCTGCATGAACGCGGCCCGGGGGCGCTGGCCCACGTAGCCCTCGGGTGGGGGGGGGGGCGGCGCTGGCCGCCGCTGGCCCCCAAGGGGGTAGGCCAACGACGGCGACGGCGAGGAGGAGCGCGACGACGTGCAGCTTCTTGTCATGGCCTTCGGCAGGCACTGGGGGCCGCCAGTCTAGCAAGGCGCACACCATACCATAAAAAAGCATAACATATCGTGCCGTACAATGCCATGCCATGCGATGCCACACCATACGACACCATATCGTACCATATCATACCCCATACCCCACCCCATACGCCCTCCTCCTCCTCCTCCTCCCTCCTCCTCCTCCTCCTCCTCCTCCTCCTCCTCCTCCTCCTCCTCCTCCTCTTCCCACTTCCTCCTCCCTCCTCCTCCCTCCGCCTCCGCCTCCGCCTCCGCCTCCTCCTCCTCCTCCTCCGCCTCCGCCTCCTCCTCCTCCTCCTCCACCTCCTCCTCTGCCTCCTCCTCCTCGCGCAAGCAAGATCGCGTTGCGACCCGACTCACGCCTCCCCCTTGCCCTCTCCTCCCCTCGTGGCGCTTCCAATTGGCAGGGCTCGCCCTGGATGATTGAAACGGGCTCTGCTCCTCCCTCTCTTCGAGGAGGAGGAGTAGGAGGAGGAGGAGGAGGAGGAGGAGGAGGAGGAGGAGGAGGAGGAGGAGGAGGAGGAGGAGGAGGAGGAGGAGGAGGAAAGGAGGAGGAAAGGAGGAGAAGGAGGAGGAGGAACGGAGGAGGCGGAGGAGGAGGACGAGGAGGACGAGAAGGTGAGGAGGACGAGGAGGACGAGGAGAGGAGGAGGAGGAGGAGGAGGAGGAGGAGGAGGAGGAGGAGGAAGATGGGAGTAGAGGGGGGAGGAGGACGAGGAGGAGGAGAGGAGGAGGCGAGGAGGAGGAGGAGGCAGGATGGTGCCGCTTGCGGGCAGCTGGTGTTCGCTTTTAGCTGTCTGGCTGTCGGCCAGAGCAGGCCGTCTTCCCAGCGGCTGCCGCTGGCGGGCGTCTCATGCGCACCCGAGAGCCAAACACCGTTACAGGGCGCCGCAGACCCGCGGCTCGCGGCGGCATCGGTTATTGTCTTGTCTTGGACTTGGATTGTGTTGTCTTGTCTTGTCTTGCCACGCCGTGTCTTGTCTTGTCTTCTCTTGCCACGCCGTGTCTTGTCTTGTCTTGTCCGGGAGCGGTCAGCGGGCACCCGCGACCCATCGGAACAGATGCCGGACGTGGCGTCGCCCGGGCGCGGCCGCTGCGGCAGGGCTGCCCCCAGGAAGCCGTGCCGCTCTCACTCCTGCCAGGGATCGACGTGGTCGCCCTGCTCGTGGGCAGGTGCAGGTCCGACGTCACCAAGGCCGCCGGGCGAGCGTTGCCTCGGCTGCCCCCCCCATTGCGCTGGGTGCTGCCGCCCCTGCCTGCCAGGCGCAGCTACTCGCTGCACCAGCGGCGGCCCCTGCCCTGGCTCGGCCGCCGCCGCCACCTCCTCTTGGCGCGGCGCCGCCTGCATGTGCCGACTGGTGCGTGCCCAGGCCGCCCCCGCCTGGGCCGCCGCCACCAGGGCCCCCCCCCCCCCCCAACTAATCAGGGCCCCTGCAAGCACGGCTGCCCCCGGCAAGGCCGCCCCCCGCCTGGTCGCCCGAGGAGGAGGAGAGGAGGAGGGGGAGGAGGAGGAGGGGAGGAGGAGGAGGAGGAGGAGGAGGAGGAGGAGGAGGAGGAGGAGGAGGATTAGGAAGAAGACGAGGACGAGGAGGAGGAGGAGGAGGAGGAGGAGGAGGAGGAGCAGGAGCAGGAGCAGGAGCAGGAGGCGGAGGCGGAGGAGGAGGCGGAGGCGGAGGAGGAGGAGGAGGAGGAGGAGGAGGAGGAGCTTTTCCTGGTGCTCTTCTGCAGACCACCTGCGCCGCCTCCCCTGGACCGCCGGCGCTGCTCCCGCCTGGGCCGCCAGCGCCGTTTTCGCCGAGGGCGGCTGCCGGCTGCACGCAAAAGGCGGCGTGCCCTTGAGCCCCGTTGAGCGTCATGAACAAGTCAGCGCCGAGCACTCCGACTCCTGCTGTCCCTGCTTAGGCTGCACTTCCTCACGAAGTGCGCAAAGGTCCGCGTCGCCCCAAATCGCTGGTCGCGTGCCAGCCCCTCCTTCGGCAGCGGGCGCGCATTCGCGGTCTCGAAGAGACCGCGGCAATGGCACGTGCGCAGCTCCAGAAAAGCATGCTGCTCACGCCTCTCGCCCAGAGGGCCCTGCCGCGCCGCACTCCCCCGTGCGCCCTGCCCACCGTCTTGGCAGGCGCGGTCGCCCGCCGGCCCCAACCTCTCGACGGGAAGGGCCCCGACCCCGCTCTCCTCGGGCTGCTCGCGCTCTCGCACCTTCTGGGCGCCAAGGAAGCACGGAAGACACCGCCGAGCAGCTTCATAAACCGCGCAAGCGCAGCGCCGCTCGGCTGGCGTTCCCGGAGAAGCCACGCGCGCTTCGCCGCTCCCGCTTCCAATCCGCCTCCAGTGGCTGAGGAAGCCGAGCCCAGCGCGCGTCGCCGCGCCGTCTCTCCCCGCCCGCCCCCTTTCCCCTAGCTCGGGCACTCCGTTCGGAGAAGGTCCGCCCCAGGACGACTCAGGAGAACCTAGTCCCGCGGACACCGTCCACGGCTCCTGCGAACAGCATCCGATCGAAACGGCGCATCGCCCAGGCGGCGTCGGGGGTGTCTGGAAGGGTGGTTTTGGACCCGTCCCTTTTGTCGGGAACCCTCCGTCTTCCCCGATGCGAGGGGCCCGTCCGACGTCGCCGCCGTCGGGAGAGCCGCCATCTCCTGGCCGCCCCCCCACCCCACCCCGCCGGGGCGCGCGCCTCCGCCGGGAGGGTTTGGCCCCCCCTCCGGGACCACCCGAGCCACCTCCTTGCTCACTGCCGCCAGGCCCGCCACTCCTCAGAGGGCCACGAGGCCCACCGGGCCCCGGAGTCCGCCGGCGCCACGACCGCTCCGAGCTGGCAGGGCTGACCAACGGCTCGGACGGCTCAGAAGTGAGGAGATCGCCACATCCCCCATCCGTCGCCTCCATCTGGGCCGGGGTCTCCGCCAAGCCCCCCGCCCCCCGCAACGGATCGCGGGAGTTTGCCCGATTTCGCCGTGGCCGCGTCTCTCCCCAGACGTCTCCAACGCATGCTTCAGGGGTTCTTCGGATAGCTCTGCGTCGGGCAACGCCGAAAGGAACGCTTCAGACTCAGCGGCTTCGGTTCTCGAGGCAAGGGCCCCCCCGCCCTCCTCCAGGGAGGAAGTGCGGACTCCATCAAATGTTCCCTTTCTTCAATCAGCTTTGAAATTCGCTCCTCTGCTCTTTGCATTTTCTGTTCCGCGATTATCACTGCTGCCCCTTCTCTATGCTTGGCCGCCTCGGCCTCGGCCCCGAGGGTCATGTCCTGGCGGGGTGTCTCCTGTTCTTCGAGTTCGCCCCCCATTGCGTCGTTGCGCCTCATCTCGAGGGCTTCCACTCGCGACTCCAAATCCAACTCGTTATTTTCCCCCTCTCGTTCGCCACGCGCGCCTCTTTCTCGGGCCGAGGACGCGGATCTCTCTCTCTCTCTCTCTCTCTCTCGCTCTCTCTCTCTCTCTCTCTCTCTCTCTCTCTCTCTCTCTATATATATATATATCTCTCTCTTTTTCCCTCATGTGTCCCTCTCTCTCTTTATTTCTTTATTTTCTGTTCTCTCTCTCTCTCTCTCTCCCGCCCCCTCTTCTTGCGGCGTTCCTCTTTTCATCTCCTCAGCGAGACGGGCCGATGCGAGCTCCTGCGCCGGCTGTCGCAGTTGCCCCGTCCGCCCCTGGAGGAAGCGACTCCTGCGCCAGCGCGCTGCGCCGCAGTTGACGTGGAGCCCGAGGGCGCAATTCGTACTTTCCGCCAGGGACTATTCATTGATTCTGCAGATTGATATGATGGGCCTCGTCGACTTTATCCTGTTTGTCCAGCTCCACCCGGCAATCATCTCGCTCCGGCATGGTCTCGCAGCTCGGGCCTCGCGACTCCCAATTGAAATCGCCTGTTCGGCTCTGGCTTGGATCATCTCCCAAACCCCCGACGTTATGATTCTTGCATGACGTCGACCCCCGGGGGTGTCGACCCATTCCCTGGGGCCGGCTTTTCATCCTGAGTCGTTTTTTTACAATCCCGTTGCCCCGTAGGGGCCCCAAGAGGCCGACAATGGCGAAACACCTCCCGGCATGATTTTTGTCATTCCTCGAGGGGGTCTGGGCTCGACGAGTCGCGCCGCCTGCCCGGCTTCGTACTTGCCGCAACCGGAGGCGTCGCGCACTAGGACGCGCCGTTGCGCATCATGCGTTGCGCCTCGCTACCCCTGTCGGCCTCGGCCCGCGCGCGCCCGGCCTCTGCATGGATCCTGCTCGCGGCAACTGCTGGTCCGACTCGACGTCGAAGTCCCATTCGAGCCTTCTCCACTGCTTCCGTGTGAGATGTTTCCAACTGTCGCGCTCTGAGCTGCAGCCAGGGCCTCGTTTTGCTGGGTTGTCTGTCATTCCGAGCTCCGCATTGCAATCCAGTTGCGATCGGCTGGGGGCGCGCGCCCATCGCACAGGAAACGGACCCTGCATCCCTGGCGCGCGCGTGAACATCCCCATCACACGGGCAGTTTCCCGACCGACCTGGACATCGGGCTTCTGCCGCGCCCCCGCGTTGGGGCGTGGGTTGCCAGCAGGCATATGTCTCAATATAGTGCTGGTATCGGGGGAACCCGACCTGACAGACCCAAAAGGTCTTGACCTGGTTCGCTTCGCATCGCACCATGCCATCGGACCCACAGTGCCTTTTTTGTCCCCGAGCTCTTCCGCGAGGTGCTCGACGCACCCCTTTTCTGCCACGGCTTCCTCGCAGGGGTAGCCCGAACATCTTTCTCGGGCTCTCTGTCCTATTCTGACTGAGCAGATCTCACCTCGCGCGCGTGAGTGAACGACGGCCGATTGTTCGCGAACTCTGGCGAGTGCGACGTCGCCGGCCGACGTCTCTTAGCCGCGCCCACGGGCTCTTCAGTCTCG